TTACCTGGTACTCAATAAATCCCAGATGTACCAAAATAATTTTCTAATAAACATTTTTATATCTGTACTCCATATATTTTAGTGCTGTTCGTACAGCTGTCACCAACATGTCAGTGATCTGGTCCAAGATTCCGCCACACAAATTCCGTTCACTCTGGTATGCCATATAGACGAAATTCACATGGCCGGATACCTGACACAGTCACTGACCACTATACAACAAAACATTATTGTCACATTTTCCAGTCACTTAGAGGTATAATCCAGATTTGTGAACAATAGTTCTGAATACGGTCCTGAAATTCATTATCGCCAACGTTACAATCTAATGCAAATATGTCGCTTTTGTGATCAGCTGTTTACCTCAGTAGACATCAAAACGTAATGGATACTCGTGAAAAATACAGTTCATATGTATATCCCACATAAGGTCCCAATCAGAGCTACGGGATAACTTACAGGTTCTAAAAAAATGTATGTATGATGTCAAACTATAAACTAAATATAACCCCCCTTAATGCAGTGTGATTTGGGGAATTTTTCTTTATAGTTGCAATTCTGGAAGATTTTTGTGTTTGTTCTGGGGGAATTCTGCCTGGGCCACCTGACAACGGTGCCGTGAAGAGACCTCAAGACGCAAATGAAATCGAAATTTGACTAGAAATTTTTCCTTTTATGTTACAGCCGTTTATGTAAACTCTTTCCGGACGAATTTTTCTTTACTCCTTTAATTTCAAATGTTTTTAACGCCATTGCCAGAAGCCTCACCTATGGAACGAGCAGCAGTAAGGATATCTCTACAATAATTTCTATGTTAGACAGGGTACTCAATGAATTGTGAATGTGTTAATTTCTCCTACCAAACTTTCCAAATTATGAAATGCGAAACAAGAGCAGAAAAACATAAAAAATACCAATAGCACAATTGGTTGAAATCTTGAATAATTACTCACTGGTATGGCCCTGTCTCAATATTACTGCAAGCCCTTCTTGTGGTTCGAATCACAGCTCAAAAACTCAAACTTACACTAATAGTGTAAAATAAGCTTGGTCACTACCGCATTCACTTCACTTTAATATGGTTTGATACACTAACACTCACCAAAATGTTCTCGAAGGAAAAAACCGTCAGATAACGACGTACCTATTCCACGTCCAAAATGAGCCCATGTATGGGAACCAAAAGATAACACATTTTTACATCTAATAACGTTGCCGTTAGCATATTTTGCAAAAAAAACGAGATTAGGTAAAAACACCCTGCCAATTCAGTAGAATGAAAGGTAAAATAGACAGACAGACGTTCTAGCTGGACAAGAAGGGAAGCAGGATCTTTCTAGAAAAAATTACAATCAAGGGATGTATGAGGATCTTAAAGTAACCACGTACGCTTACTACGGTAGTTATCACAGTAGAGATTTAACGTGAATATCACTAACACTGTTTTGAAAACGTGAAATGACTTTCCTGAACGCAATTTACTGGGGTTTTTTCAAATTTTTGAAGAAATCTCGGCGGGACCCAAAACGCGACGGCGCGCGGCGAATCGGTTGCATACTAGCGCCGCCTATAGTGAAGTTGTGTAAGTATGACATCGACATCCTGCTGAAGAAAATGAACAGGACCGCACTGGGGATTCTGTTGTTACCTTGTGGAAGCTACTTAGCTATGTATTTCCTATTCACAACTTATCTCAAATAAAAGCCTAGCGTTTTGTGTTTCCAAATGGCATGCACTAATTAATTCCAGAACCCAAGTGATTCTAGTAAAGCCCATAACGATGTAGGACAATATCAATGAAAGCGCAATCACCTGCAGGAAAACTCTAGCGCAGGCTAATTATTTGCTAATTCATTGATAACCAATTACAATAACATAGGAACTGCTGACCTTATTCATATTTTTTCTATATTTTATCATACTTTTCTTGCTTCCACTACCCTTTTAAGTTTTGAAGAAGAGGTGTTAGTGAGGCATGATGTTGGAAGTTCAAACTCTTTTGACATTGTGACTTGATACCTGGTCTTACCTTGAAAATTTTGATGCACAATGCACCTAGCGCAAAACACTTTGCAATAATTTTCTCAATGGAACACGGAAAAGATGGACCGAAGCACTCGGCAGAACACTAAAAAGGAAGTGCGTAAATAGTTCGATAGTACTTATCAGTGGAAAACAGCCAGCCTGGAGGCCAAAGAAATGAGGGAACACAATAACTGAGATAAAGTGACCGTGGTTATATTAGCTTTTGTAAAGCTGTATTCATGAACGCTAACAGAACAGTCACTTCACGATTCATTCTCGGGAGAAAAAGTGCAGGATTCTCGCCGTCGACCAACAGTCTCGTTTATAAAGACAAAGCTAACTTTAACATAAAACGTTTAATAATATGAAATACCTGGGAACATTGTCTTATCAAAAACAGATGCATTCACAAATTTATTTGATAAACGCCAAAACTCACATCATAAGCTGCCAGAAAAGGTAATAGAACAGTTTATACTAGTTATACTATTCCCTCATTTCTAGAATTGGGCCCCTGATGTCCCGACACGAAAGGGGGCGCCAGAGGCGCTTGAATAGAGTAAATTTATATAATGACACTATGTTAAATCAAGATCTGTGCAGAGAATCTGACACTATACTACCAAACAGTCAAAAATGTTGAGCACCTTTTCATATAAATTTCTTAGACCACTGCATAGAAAAGCACAGATTTAAAATGATGATACATGGTTAGCGGTACTAACACGTATTGCACCAGTAAATGGGAAGAGAGAATCTGACACTATACTAGCCAAGCAATCAACAATGTTGGACACTTTTTCATGTAAATTTTTTAGACCCGTACATGGAAAAGTAGAGATTTAAAATGATGAAACGTGGTTAGCGTTACTAACATGTATCGCACCGGCACATGGGAAAGGTATCGTTAAAACCGTTACGAATTACAACATGCGTTTTTATATCTTTTGTAACAAAACTTCAATTGCTTCAACATTAGAAAACACTGGGAAGTATACTGGTCATTTCAATCAGAGAAAAGCTAAGCCTACTTTTCACTCTCGCAAAACAGAAAATGATTTTCAAACTTAGTGTTCAATCTTGTAAGACATTTCAATTTTTACTCATTTATTTTCAAACACTTCTTCACAACCAATTACAGGACAACTATCCATCAGTCATGAAATAGAAACAAAAAAAAAACATCATGAACTTTTTATTTTTCCAAAAAAAGAAAAGATACCACATGGGATCATGTTTTATAAATATCTGTTGACAATCATCCAGGTACTGTGCCTCAATAATATTTGGCTACAAAATGATCAACAATTTAATTGATCGCCCCATGATCCTGGAACAGATCAAGTTTCGTACTCCAACGTTTGCATCTCGCAATCATAAAATATTCGGGCTTCCTAGAGCTAGGACAAACATTCTTCTCAAGTCACCGTTATATGTAATGTGCTCTAACTTAAACAGAATTGGATATTACTTATTCGGATGAATAGCTCATGTTACAAATTTATACCTGTGTTGCATTTGTTGTTTTCTTTTCGCTTTTGTATTATGTTTATAAATTGTCCTATACGTAGTCATGCCATAAGTTCTGTCCCTCGTTTTCAAACAAGTGTAGACCTGTTAATACTTGTCCGATTGTTTACATTGTGGTGTCAGTTGATTAAGCGCTTTTCGGGTAATTACATATACCTCAGTTTGTATTGATCTCTCGAAGCATAACGATGGAGTGGGGCAAGGCAGAGAACCGTATTGCAGTGATAGCTTTACATAAGTGTAATCACAGTGCTAGTCAGATTTTTGAACTCTTACGCGGCCTTCAAATATCGCGTAAATTTGTGTCTAGGACCATTCAGCGGTACAATGAGACGTCCTCTGTTGATGACAGGCCAAGAAGCGGAAGACCTCGTCAAGTAAGGACTCCAGCAGCCATCAAAGCCGTAAAAGCCAGGATTCAAAGGAATCCACTCCGGAAGCAGAAGATCCTATCCAGGGAAATGAAGATTCCTGTCCGGACGATGTCGCGCATCATGAAACAAGACCTAGGGCTAGGGGCTTACCGGAGACGTACGGGCCAGCGACTTACGGCCACCTTGCGACACATCAGGGCGACAAGATCCAAGAAGCTCTTGGAGAGGTACGCAGCTGGGGGATTCCGAAAGATTTTGTTCACGGATGAGAAAATCTTCACCATAGAAGAAAAATTCAACCGACAAAATGACAAAGTGTATGCAAGGAGTTCACAGGAAGCTTCGGAGATCATTCCGAGAGTTGAGAGAGGCCACCACCCTGCGTCAGTCATGGTTTGGTGGGGGGTGTCCTACGAAGGGGTCACTCAGCTCCATTTCTGTAAACAGGGCGTGAAAACAAAAGCGGCAAACTATCAGAGCGACATACTGGATCCTATCGTCAAGCCTTTAAGTGGTACATTGTTTGCCAACCAACACTGGGTCTACCAGCAGGATTCCGCCCCCGCTCACAAGGCTAAGAGTACGCAGCGCTGGCTGGAAAGCAATGTGCCAGAGTTCATTGCTGCGGAAGATTGGCCCTCAGGGAGTCCGGACCTCAATCCTTTAGACTACAAGTTGTGGGACCTGCTAGAGCAGTTGGCCTGCTCCAAAGCCCACCGTAATATCGAGTCCCTGAAAGCGGATTTGATCCGATCAGCGGCAGCTATTCCTTTGGAAGCTGTGCGTGCAGTGATAGATGAGTGGCCCGCGAGATTGAAGCAGTGTGTGAAGGCCAAGGGGGGACATTTTGAATAAAACTGTTTGATTATGAATTCTAAAAATGTTGTCGAATAAATAATATCTTTCATATAAATATATCTTATCTTGTTTCATTTTTATCATGAGATTATCATGGGACAGAACTTATGGCACGACTACGTAAATGGGAAACTTTTGGACAATAAGGCTATTATTATTATTATCAATCCTGAAATAAAAACAAAACAAAACATTTTCAACAAAAACTGTTTATTTTTCCAAAAAAAAAAAATGAAAACATACCACATGGAATCATGTTCTATAAATATCTGTTAACAAAGCGCAGTGGCATACTGTGCATTCATAGCACCATTGATTTGTTCATTATGATACTTTCATTGATTTCAGAAAATCACCTAGATTGCCAATAATATTAGTATTATTATTATTGCAATCATATAAAAATTACAAATAGCATAAATAATGTCACACTATAAATCGTAAAACCACCATAACCCTATAAAAATAAAATACCATCTATCACTTCTTTCATTCAGTACTTTCAGACTTCACGTCTGTCGTTGAATCTGTCGCATTAGGATCTGTTATCACAAACCAACTTGGAACCTGCAACATTATGAAATGCATAAGTAGTGAAAAAATCAGGTTTATTAAGAAAATAGAATTTTCATAAAATGGGAACAATAATGATTGTACACAGTTTAATGCTGTATTAATAAGTTAACAAGTCGCGCATCTATTAATAAAGGCCAATTAATGACCATGGAAGCGTAAAAAATCTATAAATGTTATGACGAGACAAAATAGATGTCATAACCTAATCCTGTAACAGGTTTGACTCCATGAACAATGGGTAATCTCGATGATAAAAGTAGATGGTGCTAGTTATGTTGGTCGGCTCAGTGAATACTCGGTACTCTGGATGCTAGATGTCTTGGTAGTACAACGTCATCTTTCATCGTACAGAATGATGATGAAGATCAACTTGGAAAACCATTGTGTTGGTGGAGAACGTCAGATGTTTTTTTCGCTTACCTCCGCAATCATGTCTAAGGTTATAAATAGACAAAGATGTCAATTGCTGATCAGTTGCTCACCTCAATAGTCATCAAAAAGTGATGGAGTCATGAAAAAACAGGTTACATTTCTAGCAAAATTGTCTTTTTCTTGTTAAATTCTAACAGTTTGGCCTCCAACCACATAAGCGCCGCCTAGCGGTAGCAAAAAGGACATCGCTGCCATTTAAGAGCCGTATTAAGTATTACATAAGTAGATTTTCTACAATTTTATTAAACCCTCCCCCTTGTCAGCAAATGTCTTCCTCCTCAAATTTGGTTCATTTTCAATTTGAAGGAAGTATTGGCATTCTTGCAGATCTTCTAAACACCATTTAATGTGTGAAAAATCAGTAAGATCTAGCTCGCCCAACTCAACATACTTTGCAGTAACATGATAACCATGAAGTCCCACTGAACTCCACACCTCTGCGAAAACATTTTCGGCGAACTTGAAATTGGATATTTCTAAATGTTCATTAATTGTAACGCCACGGACATCCAGTTGAGACCCAAAATCTTCAAGAGGAAATATCAAACCAGTCAGTTCCAGACTAAGAGGAGCCATTCTGAGCTTGGTTATATGCATTTCTACCAGGAATATTTGTAGCTAAGGTTGTGAGCGAGTAAGCATATCCATATTTAGGGAGTCCCTGAAGATGCGTTTCGCTTTTGAGAAGTCAAGCAGGGTTGTATGTGTTCAAATCAAAATCGACTAAAAATAAATACTGTTGGCATAATCACCATCCAAAGCCCCCACATTCCGCATGTCATCAAAAATAAGCAAACCAAAGACCCCCATTTAGTGCTTTCCTATACTCGAATGGTCCCTTATCAGTACAAAATCAGTAACCTTTCTGTCCAGTAAATATACTGCTTTCGTCCGTCCGACCACAAACACCCAATAATGAACAGCTGCCGCATACCTTTTGGCAATCCATCTTTACTGATGGCTGCTGTTCACTCTCAGAGTGCTCAATTTTACTAATAGATGGCACTTTGTGCTGTCTCATTTCGATAAATCTTTTTGTTTTTAGATTTTTTCCATTTGTTTGTCATGTCTATATCCAGAAACGGTATAAATATTGGAACTATACTCAATTTAAAAAAAAAACATGTTTGTCATACTCACCTGCCATAAATTATACACACACTTTTCCACCTCTTTTTCCTTTTCTTTCAACAACAACAAATCTTTTTGCAGCTTCTTATGCCGCTCATTCAATAGATACAACTGGCTACAGAGAGCCTGCTGTTGAGATACTGCTTCTTGACGACGGTTTTCTAATATCCTTAATTCGGTCTCGCGTTCTAAAAATAATTAATAAATGCCTTTAATGTGCATGTAACAACAAGTTTTTACAATGACCAAATAATTGACTTGAAGAATTTTTCATTGGAAACATTTTCCACATGTTTTTATGCATTATTCCCTAAACTTTGAAAAACAATGCTGGCATAGCTGAAGGGTATGCAAATCAATTTGGGAGGAATAAAGAGACAAGATGAATGTTAGGACTTTTTCCAACTACGTACTTGTAACTAAAGCTGATAACTGCTCCATAACATCATTGACTGTGGATGGTTTCTCTTTGTCAGCCTCTGTTTTCTTCAAATTGGGCATTCCGTCTAAACTAGATTCATCTAAAGAAGTACTGAGTGATGTAGTACTTGTAGTTGCTACACCTGAAAAGGATATCATTGAAAAATTATCTCAAAAGCAAATTAAACACAATATTTTGTCCCATTATGGTTTCAAATTTAAAACAAATTGAGATTCAGTTATATACGCAATCAGCGTTACAAAATATATTCTACAAGGGTCATTAATAGCAAATTTAAAAAAGTTAAGTATAACAAAATTACCATTTACATCAGTCCCAAGCTCTCTTGTTATATTACCTGCCACAGCCTGTATATGCTGTTTACCCTGTAAATGCTCCCTTTTATTGTGTAGATTGTGAAACCACTGGTCACAAGTGCGACAATATAATTCCTCATTGTCCTCTTCCTTAAAAAAAAAAAAAACTAGTAATAATTACTAAATTGGCAAATTTTTTTCATAACTTCTAGGCATACAAAATTAGACAATAAACAATATGACTAAAAAACGTGATATATTTTAAATATGATTAATTAAAAGCAGTATTCCACATATTATAACTGAGTTAGAATTTTCCATGAAAAACATAATGTGTAAAATTTTAAATATGGAAGCAATAAACTTACATCAAAATCGTCTGTGGCATCCATATCACTTTCAGAGAGCACATTGTTTTGCAGTCTATTTCTTCTCTTCTTTAATAGATAAGCTCTATATGCGGCTGATTGTCTATATTGCTTAAGTTCCTCACGATATCTATTCAAAGATATTATTAATTAAAGTCAACTAGTAGTTTTCATTTTTATTTTTTAGTGTTTTTGTAACGATCTCAATATAATGATGTAGATTTTGTGACAAATGCTGATTACAGGATAAATCATAGTAGAAGAATTTAACATATCTATAGTATATAAGTATATATGTATAGTAAATATGATAGTGAGTAGTTTTCAGACCTTTTTTTGTCCTCCTCAGCTTTGTCCAAATATGGCTTCTTCTCATCCAATGTAAGGCTAGACCATCTATTACCAATAATCTTTGTGATCTCATGGAATGCAAGAGAACTATTTTTAAACAATTTTCGCTCTTCATTGAGGTATAGTGTATAACCAGTAGCTGGAGCTTTTGGAGGTAGATTTAGCAACTCTGGTTTCCGTTTTCTACCCTTTGGCCAACCGCCTCGACCCTTTTTTGGTTTTACTACCTAATAAAATCGGGAAGTTTTCAGTAGAGAAGCATATTACATCTAATAAATATCATGTGAAAGATTATGGGAATTTCTTTGGAATAAGATCATAACATTACATTGAAAAATTTAGCATTAAAACCCAAGTTGAATTACACTTTGAACACGTGCTTCAGGTAATTTCAATACTACCTTAAAGAATGCTATAGTTTTCGTATGACTTGTATTTCTGATGCCTTTTGAATGTAGCATATCACAACACTTTTTATATAAATGAAATCACTTTCCCAATAATCTTTCAAATGGCTAATAGCTGGAATTTCAAAAATCTAAAAAGGGTTTCATTTTATACCTCTGCCATGCATTGAATCAATGAATGAAACATGAAATTAGAGGCATACCGGCCACCATGAGGAGCCAGTGCATAGGCCACTTAGATGGGCCCTTGTGCACCTCTACATTCCTTAAACCCCAAGCCTCGCCTTTCTAGCGAAGTTGAGTATGGCCTTGAGACCAAGCTTCTTAACCTCTTGGAGGCCCAAAGTGATGGACCCCAGTATAGTCTACCAGCAACCTTAGGTTGGCTCTATATAAAGATAAGCAGAAATGTTCATCCTTAGCGCTAGGCCTTATAATGAGTTCTCGTGCCTACGGAGATGTCTGGAGATGCTTCTCCATTTCTGTGTGTTGCCTTGCTCACTTCTCCATTTTTCTCCTCTTTGCGCGGGCACCCCTAAAGCTGGTAGTGCAATGTGCAAAAAGTCCACGAGTGCCACTTCTCGCTGATCTTCTCCAGCCTGCCAGATCAATGCATATCCCAGCCTGGTATGCATACTGATTGGAATGAATGACACACCTCTACAGCGCGCCATCCCTCAAAAATCTGTCAACTATACTTTCTAATGTCTTAAGCACAAAAGATGAAAGGGTAAAGGGACTAGACAGAGATCCGAATCTTGCTCTAGTGTCTTGCACATGATTATGTGTATTCTTCCCAATAATTTTTAAAGGGCTAATAGATGGAATTTCAAAATATCTAAAAAGGGTTTCATTTTATACCTCTGCCATGCATTTCATCATTATAGGACTAACTTTCTTTGGAAGTTCTTCTTTTGAGGATGGATCCATCTCACATTCTGCTCCAGATTTCTTTGGACTCTCATTGACTTTGACCTCGGTTTTTTCAGCAAGAACATCTTCCAAATGAAAAGTCTTTATTACACAGTTTGTAATTATAAGAATGTCTTATTTTTATATATGCAGGTAAGAGGTATACAGTTATAAACCCATAACATAAGCAAGGCAAGTGAAAACAATCAATAATTTGTAACACGATTTTTTCCATGATAGATAACAGCTTGCTAAAAGCACAAGGTAATGTTAAATTGGTCAACATTGGTCTTATAACTGTGTACCTCTTAGCCACACGTGTAATGGTGTAATAGAAGATACATGTCAAAATCAAGTCTTTAGTCTGTATTATCAAATATTCAGTTTAAAGAGGGTCACAGAATGTTTACAAGGAAATTGAAGTTAATCAAGCCTAAAACACAACACTGCATTAAAGCCAAATCAAAGTAAGGAGACACTCAAGCTTGAATACTTCAATGATGGATTGTTTATTATGATAATGTTCAACAAGTAGGCAAAATCATATACGAGCCCCTTCCCACTTAAGTTGGCCCACTTCAAGATTTGTATTTGTACCAAAATATGCCTTTACAAACTAAATATGACCAAACTATTTACTTCTAAAACAATTTATTTTCTCAAAACATTTTAGATACTCTAGTCGTAAAAAATACATATTTTAAATCACATAGACCTATAACTAATAGAACATCTGAACAAATAAACAATGTGCGAATAAATGCGCGAAGTTAACAAAGCAACAATTGAAAGATTACCATTGGGTAACATCACCCTTTATTTTTTATTACAGCTGAAATTCTGTGGCGCATAGTGTTAACCAAGTTTTGGCATAAATTTGGTGTAAAAACAATCACATATTTCTTGAAGCTTTTGTCTCAGTTCGGTGATTGTACGAGCAGGATGTTGTCGTAGAACCTTTTTCATCTCGTGCCACAAAGTTTCAATAGGTGACAGATCTGGACTGCTAGAAACCCATTTCAAAAGTGGTACGTTATTTTCTTCCATCCATTTTATAGCCTCTTTTGAGGTATGGCGCGCTGCACCATCTTGCTGAAACACAAAATCTTGGCCGGATGTCAAAACATTCTTCCATCACTGGTAAAGGCGATTCTTCTAAAATTGCCAAATATTTATTTGAATCCACATTTCCATCAATAAAATGAAGTTTTCCTACTCCTTTGATGACATACTGCCCCAGACCATAATGGATGCTGGAAATTTTACTTTTCTCTTCAGACAGTCAACATGGAATGCTTAATTTTTTTTGCGAATAACTCTACTGCATCTGTCACCAACACAAACTTCGTATCGGGCCTCATCACTCAATTGTATTGCACGCCTTTGTTGAGGTGTCCATTGCCTATGTTCTTTAGCCCATCTAAGCCGATTTTTCTTTAGCAGTGGAGTTAATAGTGGCTTTTCTTTGGCCTATAAACAAGTTGTGCAACCTCAGGGTTTTGACTTCACTTTTTTTTATAAGACAACTTACTTAGCAAGTGCTAAATCCCTGTTTGTGGGCCTCTCTATGAGTTGTGGACCTCGAAATTCTCCTTCCAACAGCGTCACTCCACAGAGCACTTGATTGTAAATAATTAGCACGCCTGTTTTTCATGATTATTCTTCTTGATGCTCTTCGGTCGGCATTTGTGATATTACTTTTTTTCACATATGGTGGCTTAATATTAACTGAACCAGCATTATATCTTCTAACAATATTTCTCACACTGTACGGCGATACGTCTAACAAAGTTGCAAGTTCTGAGTTTAATTTCCCAGATTTAAAAAATTTAATTATCAGTAACCGAAGTTTCTCACTAATAACCTTTCTTCTACGCCTCTACCCATTTTGAAAACCTTAACTACCCAAAACTATTTTAAACGTATTCTGACAGCTGTGATTAGTAAAAACAATTGTCATGGCTTTTATTTTTCACAGCCACCTATGTCTTATAGATGTCTTATAGACTTATTTTGCATTGAAATGAAAATAGGTTGATATGCTGTAATTGCAACATGTGTTATTTTTATGCTGTAAATTTGATTAGGGAGTGATAAAGTTGGTGTTTTCTACTATATATTATCAAAATATTCATTATTAATATTTTAAACCTATAACACCCTGTTACATTTTTATTATTTGTGTTTGATAAGAAAAACACTAAGATTTCAATAGTTGGGCCAACTGAAGTGGGAAGGGGCTCGTAGATCTTTTGACAGCATCATATAAATATAGCAGTGAATATAATATACAACTATAATTTCCAGTACAGTAATGCATTTTTTAATCAAACTACACCACATAATATATGCAGTAGTGGAGCACTTTTCTGAACTACTGTTTGTGAAAAGAGTGGTAAAAATTGCAGAAGTGATATTTTTATATATCCTCAAGTAGGTTGACACTGCACACACACACAACATTGCCATAAAGTTCATAAATTCAACACAAGTTAGCTACTCTTTTATAAAAGTCAACTACAAATCAGAATAACAGGGGAATCAAATCAAATCAGCCATAGGTCTATCCAAGTCCCCAGCCATCATAATAAAAATAATGTCTTTATTTGGGCACTGTATAGCATACATTGTTTTTCACAAGTATTGACTCACAGTAGAATAACAGCTGATTATGTAGTGATATTTCAAAACTCCCCATATCAACAAGTGACACATAATTAGGTAGGTATATCCATATTTTGTTGTGGTTTTTCGTAAGATACAGATTCATTTTGTACTTGCTAAGAACTCTTTCATTTGGAAAAATTCTTTGCATATAAGAAACCCTACAAGCAAAACGATAGCTAATGATCATGACTACATTTTATGTCAGTTAGGAATAAAATAAGATCAACAGTTTTTGACTACATAAATCACTTCTACTTTTTAGAACTTGAAATACCATATGATTTTAAAGGGCAATGAAACAGTCATACAATTGGTAATATGGTTTTTACAAAGAGAGTAAGACATTCCTTTGGATGTACCATGTCAGAAAATTGATTACATTAACCTGTATTTTAATTATGTTCAACTGATGATGGACAGTAAACCAGAAAAATGTGTCTATATTATTTTTACAGGTAACATTACATATTACATTTTATTGTCATATTTCCCAATCACTTGAAGTATAATCCAGGTTTGTGAACAGCAGCTCTGAATTTGGCCCTGAAATTCATTACTACTAATGTTACAGACTAATATGAAGATGTTGCTTTTGTGTTTTTGCTGTTCACCTCAGTAGCTATCAAAACGCAATGGATACTTGTGAAAAATACCGAGTGCTATTGTACCACTTGACCCTCTGCCCTACTGATCATCTAACAGCACTGCAATCCCCTGGCATAGGTTTCTTCTTCATTGCACTGTTCACAGGTATTCAGGATATCTATCATTTGAAATCTTAAAGACAAATGTGTAGGGCAATCTATGGGTAAGATTCTCAAACAGATGTGCAAAATTACCAAAGTTATAAGCATATAAATAAACTTACACAAAAAAAATTAAAAACCTAATCCCACTGAAATGTTTCTATAAAAGCTTTTGTCCTTGGCATAATGGTAACTGTGTCAAAATGTCATCAAAAACTAAACAGTACATTCCGAGTTTTAGAGGAGTCAAAGATTAAGGGACAGAAAGGCCAATGGTAATGAGTGACATGGATTTTCATGATATACAATCCTAAAAACATTTTCAAATTTTTTTGCCAATACAATACTTTGTAGCTAACTGGTGTGGGAAGTAAATGCACAGTGTAGCTCCTCAGGTATTATAGTATCTATTGAAATAAGACAGTGTAAAGCTTTCCATGGTGGTTGATTCTAGTGTGATAAGTGGGGCTTTGTGCTGTCTTATTTCAATAGACTGTACCTCTGGTATAGTTGCAATGCTTCTGTTTGTTTGTCCAGAGACAAAAGACCAAGCCTAGACCTTGCTGATGAGTAGCCAAGAAGCACAAAACAGCTATCCATGATTGGCTGTCCTTTTGGTCAGATGGATGAAAGCACCATGTTTGGTTTATCTTATCTATTGTTGAAGTAATAAAAGAAAGTTTTGGTACAAAGTTACCTTCAATGGCTGAGGCAGCTGTTTTAATACATTTAGGCCTAGTGATGTTATGTGCATCACAATCATCGGACTGTACTGCACTGGATGCTGATATTGAAGATAATGTTACATGGGCAGACTGCAAGCTCTGTGCAGATGTAGTGGTGCTGTAATCACTGCATTCACTTGAAAATCCATCACTATCACAGCTAGGCAGAACCTTTTGGGTGTTCTGCTGAGATATCAACCTAGCCGCCACATTTCTGAGATCATCTATAGATAGATTCAGGTTGAGAGACAAGGCGTCGTTCACTGACATGCATACCAGTCTAAAAATAATTTTGGTTACATGTTATACATGGATGTTGTGATGCGGGTTTACCCTGAGTTGGTTTCCACAAGTATTCCATTCTTGAGGAGGTTATTCGCCTCATCTGCTGTATCTTCGTCTAGATTTTGTTCAGATTTGGGTTTGAAACGTGAGAGTGGTCGATGCATCTCTGATACTGACTCAAAAGCAGGATGTATTCAGTTTTCACATGATGGAATGGATCACAAAGTAAACGGCAAGAGGAGACAAATAGTGGGTGAGCAAACAACTGCTCACAATTCACAGTACTCACACTCTTCAGAAAAACAGCAAAGCAGCATTTAAGCCAGGAAAATTTTGGGAAAATCAACAGAAATACCGAGAATGCAAGGCCGTCAAGTCATACCGTCATCTTGTCATTTTTGGCAGATGCCACAAGCGTTCAACGCATGCGTCTTCTAAAAAAACAAAACAGCTTAAGGTACAATCACACTGTTGTGGTATCCCAAAGGTGTTCAGTCGGATCGGTGACTCCCGATTTTTCGGTAACTCTACCGATTTCAGACTTATTCTACCGAAAAATTGCTCAAATTCCTAGATAGTGTATTTCTTAATATAACAGAGAGTTGTCCTTTGGTTTTCATGTCGATAGTCCCCCATCACGTTTGACTGACCAATCAAACCACATGTATTTAAAAATCTTTAATGTATACTTTTCAGTCACAATGTTGACCTTCTTCAGTACATGACACGGAATTTTGAATATGGTTTCATCGGTTATACAAACATAGGAGGGTATATTTCTTATTAATCTATTCCGACGGTAAATCATTTTACAATAAATTTTGTTTAATCCTTTTACCATACATAAATGTTCATACAAGATGACTTTACACGAAGGTGAATAAAAAACACAATTACAATGCACAAGTCAAATATATGGACATGCCAGTCTATTACAAGACATTTTGCTGTTATGTTTCAAATTTCTGGTATTACCTGAAAAATGTATTCTTACGAAAGACCAACAACTCGGAAGAATCAATTATACTATACAGTACAATACAGTTATAATCGTCACGAAATTCAAGGAAATGCTGTGACACCCTCCGCCTTTCGATTTTCGTTTTGTGCATCCCCGGGCCTCTTTTTCCAAAAGTCAGCATTTTAGCATTTGATGTCCCCCTCCCCGGCTCTGGAATATTTGATTACAGGGATTTAGTGCAACCCTGCACTCTTCAATGTTTTAAACAGCTTTCAGCATTTGATGATACATCATACACTCCCTCTTTCGCTCTTCAATTTTCAAAACCGCTGGAACACAACCAAGATATTTCCCTCTTCAATTTTCGACCATCAGCAAGTTTTTTGCCATCCAGAACAACTAACTTTTTTGTTTATGGTAGTTAATAACAATACTTTTCAACATGTGGTTATTTCCAAAAATCCATTAATATCATAGTAGGTCAAAGTGACGACCACACCTACAAAGGTACTTTATTTTAACAAGTTAGTTAGAAAATTATTAATAAACCACAATTAGCTGCACTTTTTTGAAGACAAACCATAGAAACCTAACGAAAGAGACAAGGTACCAATATAAATAATATCAGTGCGCATATCGGTTAAAACTCATCTCCCTGACCTGGGCAAAAAGTTGTTTGTACGGTAATTCTTTACCATGCATTATGAACGTGGTTATTTTTACTTAGTGGCAATTTAAACGATGTGAAAATGTGCTGTGTGCACAAATATGAATACCTGAAGACAAGAGCATACAAGAATGATCGCTCTTTTCTCGGGAGTCACCCTGTCCGACTGGCAAACAATAGAGGACACCCTTAGGCCTCTTGCACACGACCGATCATTCCGCCGACCGGTTGTTTCTCCGCCCGGCAAAGAAATCGGGATTATCTTACACACGATAAGCGATCGGCCGGTTACGTGCCGTTTACTTTGCCTTCTGCATGAAGGCCAGTGCTGTACTGTCATCCGACGTAGAAAGAGCTTGGCTATTTTCGTTTCGTGCATTGTCAAACATGAAACGTGAAAAGAAGATCGCGCTTGTGTGTTTATTGTATAGACAAAGAAAATACAAGAAAGCTTTAGCAAGAAAATTATGGATTCATCCACTGGTAGCTGAAAGAAGTGCAGTAGGATCATTTTATACCTTGTTTACAAGACTACGAAAGCATGAAGCAAAATTTTTCAATTACTTTAGGATGTCTGTTGCAACATTTGACACAGCAACAACGTGTATTTAATTACCGTTTATCACGTGTCAGGCGTTATGTTGAATGTGGATTCGGTATTTTTAGCAACAAATGGAGAATCTTTCATCGACCTATAAACGTATATTCCGAATTCGCCATTGACATTGTTAAAGCATGTTGTATCTTGCATAATTTAGTACGAATGCGAGATGGTTTTAATATCGGCGATGTCTTAGAAATCATAAACCTCGAAGACATACCAACAGAGCGAAATTTGCGAGGATCAAGAAGCGGGAAAGATATACGGGACCATTTCACAAAATATTTCAATAGTAATGAAGGATCTGTACCGTGGCAATTAAGTAAAATATAGTTCATATTGTTTCTTATCTTACATAGTTACATACCTATTTCGCCTTTTTCTGCTTCGTTCAGGTTTTCATAAATAAATGTATCGATGATTTCTTACAGGCGGCTTTAGTTTTATTCCTATCCTTAAAATCCTCTCTTGTCTTGTCCCATATCACGGGCCTTTCTTCCACCATAGAAATAAATGCCTCAATATCTAAATTTTCCATTTCGCACCTCATGACTACACTGTCTAAACGGAAATGAAACTACGACTCTGTACCACGGCGACAGTAGAATCCCCGTTCGTGTGTCAACAGGCATAAACTTGCATGCATTGAAATGAACGCGCCGGTTAATTTACCAACCGGCAGCCGTGTGTTCGCCGTCCAAATTTTAATATGAACGGCGGCCGGTCGGCAGACTAGCCGCTACCGGCAAGTGTGTTAAGTTGTATTCGAATGTGGGTAAAATAACATCTTCCGATTTTCTTGCCGGTCGGTGGAACAGCCGGTCGGCGGATCGCACGTTCGTGTGCAAGAGCCCTTAACAGTAACAAAAATCAAATTCAAGCCGATAACCAAAGGGAAATGGTATTTACCATTTTGGGTTGGTATTTACCAATCCGTTCAAGCGAGTGTAGTTATCAGTTTGGTTATAAGATCCGTGACGTCACGAATCAGCTGTTATATGTCATAGTTATCACCGCAAAATTGTGGTATTTACCCAACTCAAGAGTAGTTTTATATTTCTGGTTATTATTTGAAATGTGACAAGTTAGAATTTTGCCGGGTATTGGATATTGTTATTGTACTTCAGCTTCATTTTTGAGAAAATTGATACAGGCTGACTTCAGTTTTACCATAAAGTGGAGCACCTTATTAGTTATATTCATTACGGTTGTTGGGGACGCTTTAAATGCAGTTCCTATGCTTAACGAAGTATCCTGTGTAGTCATATACCACAAGAATATTAAAATATGGCCATATAAACTCACTAGATGATATCCACCTGTATACGGTTTTGCTAATTTCTTTTTTCATCATTTCTGCTGAATCAATAAATGTTTTCTTTGCCATGCGGAAAAATTTAGAGAATTGAAAGTTATCATAGCTACAAAGCCATGGTTCCATCATTAAAAAAAAATCTGAAAAAACATTTCTCCCATGAATATTATGAAAGGTTTCTTATTTAAACTTTCCATATACAGTTGTAGACGAAAAAGCACCGATTATTAAGTGATAATAAAAATAATCAGAAATTATATACGAGCTTTTCTAAAATAAACAACTTGCAACAAAACCGCGGTTAAAACCAACGCGTTCAAGCGATTCGTGTAACTGACGTCATCAACCCGTGTGTCATCTTGAACCATATTATAACCGCGGCACATAACACAGAAATTTTGGTTATTCGCTTGGATTTGATTAAAGATGACGTATGACACTTGGCACTTCTATAACTTGACAGCTTTGTGTGATCTTTGAAGTTTATGTTTATTTTATTTTGCTTTTCTGACTGTATCTCCTTAAAATGTGTTTGCCCTTATTTTATATCCGTAAATAGGTCAAAAGCTATACAAGATTATTTTTAATAATTAACAAAATGACCAACTTACATGACAACTGCTGTGTCTGCTTGAATAGTATTTTGAATCTCAATAAAGTCTCAAAGATTGATGAAAATGGAGTATCTCTATTAACTAAGTTACAGAGCAGCATTCCTCAAATTGTAAGTAGATTTTTCATAACACCCTTACTAAAATTTCTATCACAACTTACTAAACACATATTGCAGGAATGGCACTTAACATTCCGGATATGTGATCCTTGTACAAACCTCTTGAGTATAGTGCATACCTTTAAAGAAAGATGTTTCAAATCAGACACCATACGTAAGCAACAGATGTTACTAAAGCAAGAGCAAGATATTCCTGAATCGAATAAATTACTGGATGGCAAAACTTGTTTAATCACACAGGATGATGAGGCTGTTAAGAGTGACTCAGATAATAATCTAGAAGACCCTGACTACAGCATTGACGATACTACTGAGAATAATATGAATGAAGAACCTAGGATACCAAAAAGAAATAGAAAAAGCCTCAACTTTGTTTGTGAGAAGTGTGGCACAAAATATGTATCAAGCACTTTGTTAATTAAACACTGTATATTAGATCATAAAATGACTAGGAAAGAGATCAAGCCATTTGGTTGTACCTTATGTAACAGTAGGTTTGGCAATTCATCCAATCTACTCCAGCATATAAAGTATCACAATGCTGTTAGGTCAAATATGTGCACTTATTGTGGGAAAGGATTTATAACAAAAACTGATTTAAATATACATGAAAAGCAGCACCTGAATATGAGAGAGTACAAATGTGAGCAGTGTATAAAAGGTTTCAACACTCATAAGGATTTAAGGTACAAAGTAGAGTAGTATTTTGTTTATCTATTTTTCAGTACTGTAGATTAAAATGCTGATAAGAAACAGAGCCATGGTGATGATTTTCAAAGCATTTTGGCAGTCAGAGTTATCACTTATGTGGTCACAGTAAAATTTTAGACTATAAATGTTTGTAGTATGTCTGTCCATAGCATTACTCTCATTCATGGGTATGGGTCTCTTAAGACTGGAACACAAATGGATATATTTATTGGTGGTATGACAAAATCACATTGCAGGTTAACCAAAGTTCATCTGTTATTTGTCATTTTTACAATCACCAATGTTGAACTGTCCATTTAAATATATTCCAAATTGGATTACTTTTTATTTTCACACATTACAACTGCATTGTGAAATTCTATTTCAGATCTCACAAGTTAGTAGTACACACTGACCCTCAATCCTGGAAGTATTTTTGCAAGATTTGTAGTAAAAGGTTCCCTATCAAATCTAACTATGACTGTCATATGAGACGACATACAGGTGACAGGAAGTTTGAATGCCACTTATGCCAAAAGAAATTCACAGATAAATGTGTGCTTCAGAGGCACATGCGCACTCATTCCAATGTGCGCGACCACAAATGTCCACATTGTGAAAAGGAGTACAAAGACAAGAGAGTTCTGCAGATCCATATGGCAAAGATCCATGGGATAGGTAGGTATAAAGCTAAAAAGGTTTCAGATAGCAGAATGGAGTTTGGCATACTCTTGTAGGCCTTATTTTGCTTACTCTGACCTTCAAAGAGATGCAGCTCAAATATTAGTTAAGATCATATTTAATTTTTTTTTCACTGAAGTAGGCGCACAGGCAAAAGCTTAAATGCCAGGACAGTGCAACTCCTATCAGGAGCTTAAAGATATTTTGTTTATCTGATTTTTTACCTGCCTAACGTTAGCATAACTGGGAAAATCCTCCTCATACCCTAGACATATAGGAGCGGTCGTATCGACCAGTTCTGGACGTACGAAGTTCGACTCGGTTAGGATAGGAGGTCGAAATTAGGCGGGTCTGTATAGCAGGCACATCGCGCGGCAGCATCATGGGGAGAGCTCTGAGGAGCGAAGCCCATTGCCGTAGCAGTAGAGGAGAGTTAGATCGCCGACATCTCGCTGGTGCGAAAGGGTCCCGAGACTGTCCGTTAGAGGAGAGTCATCGATCAGTCAGACAGCCCTCCTCTGAACAGCATGCATGGATAGTGCACTTGGGGCAGCAGCACCCTAAACATGTGAGCAATACTGGAGACTAAGGACTTATCTGGGCTTATACAGAATAGGTCAAGTGGAGAAAATCACTTCAAGCCCTAAACAAATATCGTAGCTTCTTCCCAACAGCTGCCGCTATTGACAATATGTGTTCATGCCCAATTAATTCCTCTGTGATCTGGACTCCAATCAGCTCACATGAATGGCTCTTTGGTAGAACTCGACCATACATCGAAATCAAATGAGCGCTAGGACACTCTTTGTTCGTCAAAGTACAGTACTGTGTTTTGGAAGCATTAAACTGTACAAGATTGCTGCATCCCCAAGCAATGATAACATCAACATCTCTAGTCCTTTTTTCTCCAGCTCACTAGCAGAGTTCAGCTTGTCACTCTGAATTCTTGCATGCAGAATGCTGTCACTATGAATGCTGTGGATTGAATTGATTGTACAGGAAAGTACAGGAAAGGAGGTCCTTGATATTATGTAAGAGGATCAGTGTCAGAGCCAAGACTGGTCACTGCGGAACATCCGAGTTGGTGTTATGGTGGAGTTGGCAGCAACGATCTTGGCAAGCTTTTGAGTTGGTTATAATCACTTCATCCTGGCACATCAGTTGTGAATGGCTACTACTACATATCACTGTGATTGAATATAGTTATTTCAGGAAGTCATGTTTCATCAACTAAATTGTTCTGTGTATATTGTGAATCTGAATTGCATATGATTACAAGAATATGTGTGACAGTTTTTTGCATTCCAGGTATAGATGTCATTAAACTCCCTAATAGAGAAAGAAGATATTTCTGCCATATCTGTCCAAAGGCTTATTATGCAAAAAATAAGCTGACAAGACATCTCTATACTCATTCTGGAGAAAAACCTTTCTTATGTTCTATGTGTGATAAGAAATTCAATGATAAATCTTATGTAAAGCAGCATTTGAAAAAAGCACATCATATCAAGAGTGATGTGGAACTGACTTGAAGACTTGAGTGCAATATTAGGCAATTTGGCAACAAGTTTCTGATGATTCTGGATGGTTTAAAACAGTTAACCAAGTGAGATTGATTTACACAACAGTGACGTTGTTTTGACAATTCATTTGGTCAACTGAAATTGATGATTGCAAATAGATTGATAATCATAGCTAAAACATGCCTATAAAGATTGATAGTATGACATAGATGATGTTGAGGGAAGATTCTACCAAATGTTAATTGGCATAACATATAATCTTTATTACTCAGTCAATCCATAGCTAGAGGCCTGGTCCGCATCATCTCTCGTGGAACAAAATATATCATTGTCACATATTAAGATGTTTACAACTATCTTAAAAAAACTCGGTGCTTTTTAACAAGATATATAAAGGTCAGACTGTAATGATCCGAGGATAACGTCGTATATAGCTATTTATACCGTCTACAATCTGTGTTATTATGCAAAACATGACTATAATATTACTGTTAACAAAGACAGTGTCGTCCAAAAGCATAATAGTTCTATGATAAGAAGCGGCAAAATGGTTGACGTTTACCAGAGTTGTGTCAGATGGTGGCGGCATCGATGAACGATTTGTTTTTTCTCATTCTAGATACCATTTCACACATTATGTACCCTACATTATCCCTGCTATCGTTGGGTCCTTGCTTGGGCAACTATGGAGATTTTGAGACACCAACTTCCCGGTCGAGTAATCTGTATAGTTTCGGCGATTTGAACAAGCTATCCAGATCGCCAGATCTAACAGCACCGGACTCCTTTCTTTGGGGTTTTTAAAATGTTACCTTACCATAACAAACTACGAACCTTGCAAGTTTTGGAAGTTAACATTAAAGAATAAATCACCAGTTTGGAGTCAGTTCAAATTATGACATTACTTTTGCGCCACCTTGTATTTTTGCTGATTTTTTTCTATTTTTACTATTTATATATTCTAAGCTGTTTTCTTGTTACTTATTTTACAACTTCCGATCAACTATTTTATCCTACTTTGATCATGTCGGTGTTTTTATATAAATCCAACCCTTGACGGTATTATGTTACTAGCTATAATATAAAATTGGGATCTGATCAATGGTTTATAGACTGTTGATGCTTTACATCTGGATATAGCAAGTTCAATTGTTAATAAGTTTATTTTTAACACATAGTCACGATACAAGCATCTTTCTCACTACATAAAAATTATATTAAATGAAAGTATCGATAAATCTGTCCCAAATCCCTGGTATTGAACAATACAAAAAAACACCTCGTAATTTCTGTAGTCTTCATAAATGTGTTCGCGTATATCTATGCCTAAAATTTGTTGCCCTAGATAGACAAAACATTGCGTTACATGTTTCTCATTACCCGCATGTTTATGATGCTCTACCCAGTTCCATCACCAGTAAGACTTCTTGAAAGATTTGTTAATTAAAAAGTGATTGATCGTTGTACAGGGTGCGGCAGCATAACTTCCTTTTTTCGAAACTTAATAAAACCCATTGTATAGTAGACATATGCTTAAAGTTTTGTTTAACATGGTTTTGAAGATCAAATCAGATAGGTGACGTCCCCCCTTCTCAATTCCCAGAGTACTTTATATATTGGAGCCAAAAACCAGGATTTGACATACATTGATGCCATTTCATTTATATTGAAAGTAATTACTAATAACAGTGCTATGACTACCTATCACCATTGCTGGAACACAAGGCAGACAGAGTCTTCTGCAACTTTATGTTACTGATAATGCTGCCTTGCTGCTCAACATGGTAGGCCCAGGCTCTTGTGCCAAATTACTGAGATTCTGTCGTGCAGAAAAGCGGGAGAGTTAGATAATAAAAGTCTAAAACCAAGGGCAACATAACTCCCAGATCCCCGAATAGAGGAGGTCGTGGTTATACCTCGTTACCGAACATATCAGCTGTAACATCAGAAATTCCACGAGATGATTCGGACCACAGCTTAAAATACATTACACACTGTAGATAAAAAGTAGTCAGGGCAAATCCTTCACATAATTTATGGACTCGACCATCTTAGATAAGAGAAAAAAGTTTATGAAGTTTTATAGGCATCCAAAATGATGTCCATTACATTCATGTTTTGTAATTAAGTGCATCACTATATTTCGTTAAACAACTGAAGTATTTCTGATGCAAATCTAATTAAAGCTGCACTTTACTCCATCTGTTTAATCGAAAACCATGGTAGAGATTAAATGCAGTTGAACATTGATACAAAGTATCTATGAAATGCAATGAAAGTTTCTAGTTCTACTAGTATTATTATAGTATTGATCAAGAATATAAAAATAAGCCAGATATGAATCCACTAGGATTACAACACCCTAAATCCACTTTAGCTAAATGTGCAGGAAAGCAAAAAAACATTTTAGCTAACTTTTGAATTAACATATATGACGAGATATGCTTTTTAGGCTTCCTAATAATCATATATTCAGTAATATAATGTAAAAATACAATATTCTTGAGGCTTAAAGTGGCAATTTAAAAAATAAAATCGGATTTAGTGCAGTTTGCAACCAAACCATGGATTTAGTGGAATATGAAACTGTCTAATATGGATTTAGTGGATTTTGACGTGGACTGAATTTTATTTTCAAGATTTAATAATACTAGGTATGTAGGAAAAAAGTGGTACCTTTATTTTTAACAAAAAGTATTGGAACAAAATCAAAACAAAACATGTTTATGAAATGTTTCAGCAAAATAAACGGCACGCGTTAAACTGATTAGCACATTGGGAAAACTCAAGAGTTAATTTCGGCAAAGAAAAAAGTGATGATCTATACTACAATCTAAACTAATACATCTGGAACTTCTTCCATACTTTCACAAAGCTCAGTGTTTTCTGAACTACCTTGCTCAGCCTCTTCTCCTTCATCTCCGTCATTGGTTGCTCTGTTTTCTACTAAATATTTTTCAAACATTTTTATAATATCCTAAGCAAGTCAATCCCTTCCATGCAGTGCCATAATGTTTGGTCAAGAGCTTAGCTACATCTTGTAGTTGCCACTACCTGTTGGGAGCGGATTTAATGATTCGAGATTTTTTTTTTGGTTTGCATACGGTCTTGTAGAATCCTAAGTCTGACCGATAACTTTGCTCACCTCTTACTGTGACTGTATTGTTTCTTCCTTTTTTCAACAGAAACCTTTTCACCATATTGAATTTAATATGCCATTGGGCGGGTGGTTTCAAAACTTCCCTAGTTGCAGACTTCCAGTCAAAAACAGCTACATCCTTGCTTAACTCCACTACGCAACCATGTTCCTCAAAAATGTTGAAATATTCTTTGGGCTCTATGATTTGGTCCCTGTCGCCTTATCTTCTTGTCAATGCCTGCGAAAACCCTATCTGGAGGTAAAAATGACTGCCCAACAACTGGAAAGATCAGTTCGAGTTCTTCAACTGACGAAGTACTTAACCATTTTAGGCACATACCTAACATAATTGTGTTTTTATTCTGACCTCCACATCCATCAGCCATGAGTCGTATTTTCCTTATGCCATTAATATTGCTATTATGCAGCGTATAAAACACTGCAGACGCAATCTCGTTAGCTCCTTTCGCATGTTGGTCCTCCGTCCTGGCAAATATTCGCACGTTTTCTGATGTCAGCTTAGAATGTGAATCACCGGTTACAGTTGTGAAATTATAAAGATACAGTTGTCGACTATAATACACACTTTGGTCAGGTATTTTTGGAAGCGTGAGATTCTTTTGACAGTCAAAACTTATAGTCAATAAATCGTCTCGTTTTTCTCGCAACAGAGCGAAAAAGGCTTTAGCTCGTAGTTTGTGTATGCGACTTTCGGTGATAAGCTGTTGTTTTTTTTCTTCGTCTTGTTCTAGTTTAATTCTTTCCCCAAGCTCCAAACATTTCGAGCATACGTCTGTCCGAGGAGACCCAAAACCGAGATTGAGCTAGTGTTGAAAATAACTTTCTTTAACTTGGAAGTCTGTAGCGGCTTCTGCTTTATACATCTTCCATAGCTTCCGGATGCTAAGCTCGCTAGGTAAGTATAATCTGGGCAATGATTTACTCCGACAGTAGTGAGCTTCAACTGCTTTCAAGGTTTTAATAAAACGTATAATTGCTTCCTTTCTGCTTCGGAACGTTTCTTTATTTCTGTTCCCTCCTCTATTTTCTTTGGCCATGCTTCTGCTTGAAAAGTGTCTATTTAAAACACCTTTGACTCTATCCATTCCTATACACAGTACGTTTAGAAAAGCTTTAGAACAAACAGGTATTATTTTGTGGTTGTAGTTTTCAATAAAGTATTTAGCAGAGTATCTTCTATTGCTCCTTCCCCTTATGTTCCTGCGGCGCTTGGGTATGTCAATTTGTGAGTACTTTATAATAAAGTTATCTTGACTAACTTTGGAACTATGTTTATAAAAGTTAGCATGAAAGTCTTTAACATCCATCATAGTCAACGTGCGACATTTATAGGACTTCGTATAATGTTTGCAACTGGGATACCGTGGCAAACTTGCAGCAGTATACCTAAAAAAAAAAAATGTTTTTCAAAAACTGACTGCATGTTCCTATGTGTATCATTGTGGCCAAAAAAACTGGTAAAATTTGGAAAACTAAACGCACCCTATTTTTTTCAGTTTTTCTACCGCAATAGTACAAGACACACAGACATCCTAATAACTAAAATAATAATTATATACGCCTGTCAACAAATATCTATGTCGGTAATAATATAACATAAAACTTGCCTGCTTGATTTTCTCACGTTTCTCTTCCAGAGCGAAGGGTTACGAGCTCGTTTTCTAGCCTTACCAGGCTCCACATCTTCAATTTCCACTACATCCGACATTATAATAACTTTTCAAACACCCACAATACTTATAAAAACAGACAATGGTGGACACGGACTAATATTCACTAAACAAATTGTCCATCTGTACTGGTAGATAAACATAGCTTAACAAGGTTATGTCACCGATGCAGTGTGTGCGCTGGCGCCTCAAATTCTGTGACCGGATTGGCTGAACTGGATTTAGGGGCGTTTGAAAATTAACATGGCTAGATTTAAGGGACTTTGCAACTGAGGTAGCTTTTTGATGCCATTTTTACTATAGATTTAGAGCGATTTGTCACTAAATAGGTATAGTGAACAGTAAGGAATGGTTTGAAGAATATCAAAAAGTATTTTACTCATTTTTGGTCTGAAGTGGATTTAGGGGGTTTTGATCCCAGAGGATTCATATGTCTGTTTACTTATGTTTAAAATTGAATGGAAAATACTCATCATAGTCGTTTTTTGTATATATAATATAAAAATCTGTTCTGATTAAACTGCAAATTGTGGTTTACTGTTGACCTTCGTATATTTGACAAGACGTTATGTATTAATAAACTTTATATGTACTGAATTTGGTGTTTCAGTGTTTTGCTATAATGCATTCTTGCACCCATTTGGGAGGAATTAGTGTAGTGGATAATGATTACAATAATTTACTCATGGTATTGCTTTATTTTCTTAGTACTTATTATACATAATATAGATTTTCCTAGAAATATTATCATTACCATAAAAGCTTTGCAACAAATGTCGTCTTTATTCACAGAATTATGCGCTAGACATCTGGGTGATAACCTGCAAAAAATGTTTTTTTTTTCAATATGCTGCTAATACCACATTAGGAAATGTCATGCAACTTGGTAAGACATGAACAAAATTGCAGTTTTTCTCACTATACGATATAGTTCGCGCCATGTTTACAGTACATTAATATAGTGGATAAGCAGGTGTTTCAAACTCGTACACGGGTGATGAGCACCAACTAGGTTTTCAATAATAAATTAGTATGCTGCTGAAAATATTTGAAAATGGTGACTCGCATGTGTTCTGAACGATGTATTGTTATTTGTTGAAGCCACCATTTTCATATATTTCCAGCAACTAATTTAGTTTCAAATTCTCTTGGTTGGTGTTCGCTACCATGAAAAAAAACACTCGTATAAATCTCCTGCACACAAAAAAATCAGCCAACGGGATTGAATCTTTGTTAAATGGATATAGATAGAATATAATCATTTGTCAAACTGTTAATTCCGAACTAAAACATTTCTTTTCATCTGATGAACATAAAGGCACCTTACAATATTGTAGGAACAACTGACGATTCGGCTCTTAATCCTTATGCCAGAGGGAGCGTTATATGCTAAGGTCAGGGCGGGTAAAAATATAATAATAATAATAATAATAATTTATTTCATTGTTGAATGGAACAGAAAATTCTATAACAAATGAAAAGGTCATAAAAATAGTGGTGACGAGTTGAAAAAGTATAAAAATATAGATCTAAACAAAAAACTCCTCCAAGGTGTAGAAACATTTGTCTATCAAAAAAAGTTTTAGTTTTCTTTTGAAAACAGCTATATTTGATTCATTCCTAATATTATCATTGAGCTGATTAAAAATCTTACATCCCATATACCTGCATGTTTTTTGTTTTGCCGTAGTTCGATGTCTCGGCGGGATTAAAAGCATCTTAGACCTATTTGGATATTCATGCTGGTGTTTGGTGACTCCAAATTCGCGCTTATTTTTGAAAACAAACAAAGCCAACTCATAAATGTAAATACCTATAACAGTCAACATCTTTAGTGTTCTAAAGGATTCTCTACAGGATTGGCACCAACCAAGGTTATCAATAATTCTAATGGCATATTTTTGCAGCAGGAGAACTCTTACAGTTAGTGAACTACTTCCCCAATTGAGAATACCATACCGGATATGACAGTTGACAGTGGCATAGTATAAAGTTTTTAAAATTCGTTTACTGCACTGCTTTGCTAAGAGTTTCAAGCCATAGCAACTCCTTCGCAATCTATTGCACAAACACTCAACGTGGAACCCCCACGACATTCGACAATCAAGTATCATCCCCTGCATGTTAACTAAATTAGATGATGGAATAGCTCTGTTAGTATGATCAAAAATGTTGAAATCTTGTTCATCTTTTAATGCGAATTTCACAATGCTGGTCTTTTCTGTGTTTACTCGGAGGAATTTATTTTCAGACTATTTAATGATAACCTATTATGCCACTCTAGGAATTATTACGTCACAGTTTTTGGCGCGAAACTTTTGACGTTTTAGTTCATAAACAAGTGAAAACACAACACATACTTTCAGAGGCATAACATTCACACTTTGTCGAAATAAAAAATTCGAATGTTCCAAAGGCAGTTGAGAGCAGCTTGACATAAATTAAAATCGGTACAATTTTATTATTAAATGAAATAACACTTCACGCAGAAAGCCGTTAGCGCCTAGTACACTACAGAGCTACTAGCTGCCCAGATATACAGGGTGACTGGAAATTCGACCTATTCCCTGAAATTGGTGATTCTAGAGGTTATTTGTAATAAATTAATTCGCATCAACTGGGGGTCGGAATTGAGCGGCTTCCGAGATATTGGCATTTTAAGATTTTTTAAGAATTTTCTGCTTACTGATCTATACAATATTTTTTTTTAAAATCTACACATTTCTTGGAACTAAATTGATGATTTTCTGAAAGCTATACCAAAAGTTTGAAACTGTTAGAAGTAAAAGGCTGTTTGTTAGTGAAGAGATTTTATGTTTGTTTATTATTTCCGAAAATCATCATAAGTTATTTGAAATTAAATGTATGATATTCGGCATACAGATTACCAAAATAATTGCAGAATTTCATGAGCTTTCCAAAACCATACAAATCTTATTAACTATTTCAAGCATTTGAAAAAAGACAGCAACCATCGATTAGAGGTAGTAGATTTCGTAAATCCAATTTTCACAAAACAGCTTTCTCGGAATAAAATGCATCGTATTTGTACGTGTCAAACTGACTCGTTGAAGTATTCTGGTGTGCCCATCGAAGTGACCAATGAGGTTGATGATGCGTCATGACCGACAGTCTATTTATCGCTTAGTACCAACAATCTTTGGAATTCAGACGTGTTGCATCGTGTTGTGATCTTACTTAACATTCCTGCAACCTGTATGTGTAATGGCTGCTTACAAAAATGAAAAATACGCCGACATTATGTATTGTTACGGGTTTTGTAATGGTGACTCTGCTGCAGCACGAAGAGATTACCAAAGGCGTTTCCCTACCGGCGTTTACCTGATATAAGCGTGTTTGGTACTACTTACCGTCGCATCAGGGATTCTGGCTCGGTTCATCGACGACAAATAGGCGCTGGCAGACCTGCCATCCATAATGGTGACGAAGAAGAAGAAATTTTAGAGTGTTTTAGAGCAGACCCCACTGTGTCAACTAGACAAGTGGCACGGCAACTTTGCATATCCCAATGGAAATCCTGGTTTATTGCTCATACAGCGCAACTTTATCCGTACCATTACACTCCAGTGCACGCTATGGAGGAGGGCAACTCTGCACGAAGGATTTACTTTTGTAGATTCTTAATTCATGCCGATATTGAAAACCCAGACTACCTCAAAAATACCCTGTGGACTGATGAATCCAAATTCGATCGTGATGGTATTACAAATTATCACAATGCCCACTATTGGGCCTCTAAGCGTCAAAATCCAAAACAATTCAAGGAAGGCAAGCACCAGAGAAGATTCTCGTTAAGTGTTTGGATGGGAATTATACATAATTGAGATTGGACCTTTTTCCTTGCCCGACAATTTAAATGGCACCACTTATGAACACTTTTTAAGAAATGATGTTCTGCTAGCTAGGAGAATCAATATGATATACCAGCATGATGGCTGCCTAGCCTATTATTTTCGAGGTGTACGACAATGGCTGGATGAAAACTATCCGCAGAGATGGATCGGTCGAGGAGGCCCAATGCCGTGGCCGGCGAGAAGTCCGGACTTGCCGCCTTGCGATTTTTACATTTGGGGTCACATGAAACAATTAGTGTACAATACCTCCGTTGCACATATCGAAGATTTGAGGCAGAGGATTTTGGCAGACGAGATGAAACGCACCCTTTCAACAAAAGTGACAGTGACCCAACTACGTCGTAGGCTACGAGCTTGCATACGTAACAATGACAGGCAATTTGAACAAGACATAGCTTTTAAGTACCAACGTTGTGTTTGTTCCATTAATTCTTTATAAAGTACATGTTTTTCTTTAATTAATTAGATTTCCAACTTTACCGAGCTCATTTAATTAAAAAATTTAGTTGTACCTACAGTACCCTTTGTACAGTTTTTTTAGAATATGGCTGAAAAAGTTAAATGTATACTGTCTTTGAAAGCTCATGAAATTCTGTAATTATTTTCGTAATTTGTACGCCGACTGTCATACATTTTATTTCAGATAACTTATGTTGATTTTCGGAAATAATAAACAAAAATGAAAATCTCTTCATTAGCAGCTTTTTATTTCTAACAGTTTCAAACTTTTGGTATAGCATTTTTATCTCAATTATTTGCTAGTTTCACAGCTCTCAGAAAACCATCAATTTAGTTCCAAGAAATGAGTAGATTTAAAAAAAAATTGTATTGATCAGAAGCAGAAAATTCTTAAAAAATCTTGAAATCTCGGAAACCGCTCATTTCCGACCCCCAGTTGATGGGGATTAATTTATCACAAATAACCTCTAGAATCACCACTTTCAGGGAATAGGTCGAATTTCCAATCACCCTGTATGTTACCGTCATGAACATCGAACTTCTGGTATAACCTAAGTTATATTGAACGTCTTACCTTTCTTACGTTAATCGGAATCGGATCCCGACTCCGAAAGGCACAGATCGTCACTGAGCAAATGGGTGTCGATCTTGTTGACAACCGGTGGTTGCGGTGGTGCCAAACTTCCACCACCGTTGCTGTACCCGTTCGTTTTGGCAGCGGTACCGCCGCCGAATTTCATATTGGTACTATTACTGCCGCTTAACCGTTGATTGCTACCGTCGTCGCTATCGCTGGACGACGAGGAAGAGCTGTCCGAGATGGTACCCACGTGGTTCTCGATATCTGACGTCTGAAAATACAGTATGCTCTATAGAACCAATCTTCTATTTCAAATCATTCATATTAATCATTAATATTGAGTGTCAACAGGTGGTCTGACATAGGACAATCAGAAAAGGTCATTATAGATGAGATGTTGGTGAAGCCATCCAGCATGCTGATTCGCTGTCAAGAGCCTCATAGTTTTAACAGACCCGTGAACACGTACCCATGTGAATCTTCACTAAATTTTTCAATCAAGTTAACTGTGGCTTTAATGACAATGGAAACTTAAATCTCGAAAAGAGTTTATCAGTATCCAGGTTGAGCTAAAATGGTATTTAACTACATCCAATGGGTTAGCAAAAAAGTTCTGCACTGTCTGCTTGATAGTGATAGGAGCTTTAAAGGATGACGCGATTCACAAACTCCAAACACCAACAGGACGCACAGAATATTACACTTCCCACAATGGAGGCAGCTTGCCACACACAAGAAGATGCCCAACCTACCACTCATGGATATCTGTTTTTATCATGATATTATTTTTGACTAATATTTCAATGAAATAATTCGATAAAATGGAGTTTTAACTTACTTGATGCGAGGCAGCTTGAAGTGGATGAGACTGTGTGTTGTGATGTTGATTGTGGTGATATTGTTGAGTTGGTACTGGATCTGAGTAGTCATCTATTCCAATTAGTGGCAAGCTAGCTAGGGCACTTTGTGAATGGGATCTGCAATAATGAAAGTGACGCTATAAGGAAAATGACTGCTAATAATCATGACTACATTTCAAGTCCGGTAGGAATAAAATCAGATAAACAATTCTTGGCTTTGTTAATCATCTCCACATTTTAGAACTTGGAATACAATAAGATTTTAAAAAGCAACGAAACAACAATATTTGTATAACATTATGTTGATAGGGGACCTCGGTTGGCCGCGTGGGTCAGAGTGTCGTGTCGCCTTCGCCATGGATGTTGTGACGTCTTGTGTTTGTCCATAATTAGAAACGTAAAATATAACAAACCTAGTTTCTGGCTGCATGGATTAGGTCCTAAAGCAAAAAAAAAAAATATGCTGATGATTAACCAGAAACATGTCTATATTATTTTTACATGTAAAATTAGAGCTACTGGAAAACACAACACTGTTCTATTGACTTACCTCATAAACAATAAATCCCAGAAGAACTATAATAATTTTCTAATAAATATTTTTCTTATACTTATACTTCATATATTTCATTGTCAAAATTTCCAGTCACTAAAAGTATCTAGAAATATGAATAACACCTCTGAATATGATCTTTACACTCAATTCATTATTGCCAAAGTTACAGACTAATACAAAAATATGCTACTTGCTGATCAGCTGTTCACCTCAGTAAACGTCAAAACGTAACAGACACTCGAGTTTAGTTTCCTCCATATATTTTATAAGTGCAATACTATAGCATTCATAATGTGGAGAATAGTAGGAGTACAGTTTTGTGTCACAGGCGATGTATGGTTGTTTACAAAACCTTTTACAAGGTGCCTGCATTTTATCGAAAATCGTGGGTGAAACGCCACAATAGTACACTTGTATCAATATTTATATACATATGTCATAATTTCAAGTAGTTTAGCACCACTGATCAGGGGCTGCAAGCGAGGCAGTTGCTTCAAGGTGCAGAGTCATGGGAGGAGGAAAAAAAATCTCAATAGGGGAGGAGGGCGCGTATTTTATCCTTGCCTCAGGGTCTGCCAATGACATTTTGTCTTGAATGACGTCTCGACAAGTTCACCCACCATAGGTCACATGTGTATCCCCTAATGCAGTTGGCACCGTTTCTATCCGATCACTGATTTGGCCTACCCTCACTTTGGTCAAACTATCAAGTTGGTGCAAAAACATGTGGATTATGCAAGAAGTGGTATTTTCCAAACATTGACACAAAAAAATGTAATACTAACTCGTTGTTCGTAAGGTGCATGGCAGGCTGTGAGAGCGACATAGGCGACGGTATAACCTGATCGCGCATGCTGGGGCTGCGATGTTGATGAGAAGGACTAGCCCTAAGGGGCGAATGTTTGGCGGCAGCATGAGGGATGCTGGTGGTGATGCGTTCGGCATTGTTGCGATTCCTGCCGCTGGTGGTTACCCGTGTCTTGGTGGAGACACGCTGCGGGGTGGGGGCGGCTACCGGAGGTGTTTGCGATCGGCCGCTGCCGGAATTTGAGCCCTGGCTTGAGGACAAGCGGTCTGTAAAATAAAGGAAACATATGTTATCATCACATTTGTTTTCTGCAACTCCACAGCTATATGGCCAATGGAACATCTACAAAAATTTAGGTGTGTGTCTACAAATAAAAACTGAGCAGGGTACTATCATCTACAAACATTGCCAGTAATTGATAGAAAGTTTCACTAGCCTCAGCATTAAGTTTGTCCAGCAAAAATCCTATATAATACAAAAATTAATGGAAGATGGCTTTAGAATTTAGCAGTTACAATGACTACCACAGGTGAAACAATTTGACACAAACCAGTTGACCTCCCCAAGTGACTTGAACTTGATAGTTAAAGTCATGATAATCAAATCCAAGTGAATAACCAAAAGTTCTATGTTATGTACCGCGGTTATATATGGTTCAAGATGACACACAGGTTGATGACGTCAGTTACTCGAATCGCTTGAACGCGTTGGTCTTAACCGCGGTTTTGTTGCAAGTTGTTTATTTTAGAAAAGCGCGTATATAATTTCTGATTATTATTATCATCACTTAATAATTGGTGCATTTTCATCTACAACGGTGTATGGAAAGTTTAAAAAAGAAACTTTCCATAATATTAATGGGAGAAATGTTTTTTTCATAATTTTTTTTTAATGATGGAACCAAGGCTTTGTAGCTATGATAACTGTCAATCCTCTAAACTTTTCAGCATGTCAAAGAAAACATTTATTGATTTAGCAGAAATGATAGGAAAAAGCGATGAAAAAAAGATATTAGCAAAACTGTATGCAGGTGGACATCATCCAGTGAGTTTATATGGCCATATTTTAATATTCTTGGGGTATATGGCTACACAGGATACTTTGTTAAGTATGGGAACTAGATTTAAAGTGTCCCCAGCAACAGTAATGATTATAATTAATAAGGTGCTCTACTTTATTCTAAAACTGAAGTCAGCCTGTATTAAGTTTCCCAAAAATGAAGCTGAAGTACAATAAAAATATCCAATACCCGGCAAAATTGGAACTTGTCACATTTCAAATAATAACCAGAAATATAAAACTACTCCCGAGTTGGGTAAATACCACAATTTTACGATGATAACTATGACATATAACAGCTGATTCATGATATCACAGATCTCATAACCAAACTGATAACCACACTCGCTTGAATGGATCTGTAGATATCAAGACAAAATGGTAAATACCATTTTAATTTGGTTATTCACTTTAATTTGAATGATGTTCATCATTTTTATGTGTATGTATGTATGCAAACAGGTGCCAATTAATTTTTTAAAAATCATCACTTCAATTTGTTGAATTCCTTGTAGCACAGCTAAAAAAACTCTCAATCAAGATACATTCAAAGCAAAACAAGAGGCAAATCGAAACTGATTTATCATTTTTTAGGTACTTTGACATGCAAAAATTTGCTGTGTACCAATGTTGAACTTTTATATATCTCTTTTATATATAAATGTTAGTGACACAAGATCACTTACCCTGGTGCAATTTGTTATATTCACTTCTAGTTTTCTTAACTTGTATATTATAGCTTAATTTTTCTAAGGTGATTTCACCAGTTGCTCTATCTATTATGAGGACACATTCTTTCTGATATGGCCTCTGTGAACCCTTAAATACTGTCTGAGGAACCCCAGCACCATCTGAAAAATTTATGCAAACAATGAAACAAGTATTAAATATACTGACAACCTCAAAAAATGGCCAGTTGTATATACAATTTTATAACATAAAATGGTATCATAATACCAATGTTCCACATAAAGCAGATCATTCAATACTAAATTACTGGAATAAGATGTCTTAAGAAGGCACCCTATTTCATCTCACTTTTTTCTAATAAATGTAGCATTTGTGCAAAACGATGAAGGATAAGCCTATCCAAGAGGCCTATTCCTTTAGTGCCTTTTTATAGCCACAAATTGTGTCAAGGACTGTAATGATTCTCATTCCTATTTGCCTTACTACTTTGGAGAACATCTTTTTCACCCATGGCCTTCCTGCTCTTATTCATTTTTTTCCTCTCCTCTAGCAAGGCAATAAGGAACTTAAAGGAGAAAAAAACTGGAAGGAAAACAGGGAGGTCATGGCCAAAAGAGACTTCATCAAGCAGGAAGACACTAGGAATAACTGTGCATGCTTATAATAACTTGAAATGAGTTACAAGGCAATTTCTATACTACTCCTAGTCCCAGATACTATCACCTTAGTTTAACTTAAAATAAAATACAGAGTTGCACAAATATCATATCTTATGCTCTACCCACAGAATTTGAAGATCAGTATCCTACCATAATTTTAGGATCAAAATCAGCAATTATTCTCAGAGGCTATTAATCACCTATGCCGAATCAAACCAGATGTAGCGTCAATCTGGTATCGTATCAAAGCTTAAATGTTTAGATACTATTTTTGATGAGCATACCTATCCCTTCATACAAATTCTTTCGCTTAGCAGTTTTTAAACATATTTAGAGAGTCAGGCTAACTTACCTAAATGTGGCACTGTTACAGTCACCTGATTATTCCCAGCAACGTCTACTGTTGCTTTCTTATTAGTATCTACAGATGCAGGTTTGAAGTCATCTGGAACCAAGTCAAAAATTGTTACATGGAAGTTAAAGCAATACCTACCATACTCACATTTTACAGTGTGGAAGGCTGTTGATTTGGGATTGGTAAAGCTTTGTCCTATTTTTAATTCCCTCACTTCGTTCCCTAAACCCAATTTTTCTGCCATATTTCACTTTTTAGACCATTCTCAGAAACTGAAACTTTGTAGCGATAAAGGACCGATTTTTCGCTAAGAAAGAAGTGCAAGAGCCATAAAATCTGGAAGAAATACTTATGCGCCACCGTTACATGATTCTCTACTATCACAGTGGTTTCTATTTTTCGCAAATAATCTCAACATATGAACACACGTATTGAAAAGTAAAATGTAAAATATTGACCTAGTTCTTGACGTTTGACGACTTTTAAAAAGGATTTACTTTTGAGTTTTAGCGTTGGCTAGCATGCTTGTCTCATTGACAATGACAGATTGACACATTTGTCAGCTAGTTGTCTAAAATATAAACAGCGCCATCTATCATAAATAAACTTTCCACTATATTGATTGGAATTCAGATTGGACTCAACTAAAATACTAAAATAAAAATTTAATTTACTGCTAATAAGTTATAAGTGCTTCGAAATTACCTGTACAACTAAATTAGTGGGTAACTTTAAGTTATTATTTCGCATTTATTTTTTTTAGATACAGCTTATTCTTCATTATCTCCAAATTACATTGTGTCCCCACCACATAAATTCATAGGAAATGTTATTGTTATACATTATTTGTTTTCGCAGCACAAATGACCGTTAATTAGGGAATTTTATTGTATATTTTGCAGTTATCCGAAAGAATGTCGAAGAAAAATATTGCAGAGCAAGAATCCAAAATCAAAGAATCTTTATTTGAATTTCTGAAAACTCACATAACTGAGGCTAATATCAATTTGATTGACGAAATTGTTCTATCATACGTTATTGCAGTCTTGGAGGATGTTGGAACAGAACCTGTTTTTGATATTGAAGGTAATAATATTAGTTCCTTACCAATGTTCTTTATAATTGTTTCAAAAATGCAAATGCTGTCACAGCCATTTGAGATGTCGTACTGAACAATCAAACTGGAGTAAGTATAAAGATGATAATTTTCTGTAAGATATTATTTCTGCTATATTTATATATAACTAACATAAATTGCTTTAATATAATCTTTGCTATAGTGTTAATATGAAGCTGAAACAGTTTTCTTCTTCAGTTTGAGTTAGAATACCTTTTGTGTACATTTTATGTAATTATGTACCTGTTACAGTGAAATATATTATCATTTACACAGAGTACAGATTCAATTGGTCAAGTACAGTTTTCTCCATCAACTTTAATAACATTATATGAATATAGTCTATAGTCTAGTAGCACCACAGTAAATATGTTTTCATTCAAAATCTGATGAAGCTTTTATAAATTTTGCTAATTGTTATGAATTCTTGATTATGGTTGGTTCAGTTATTATGTAAATACTATTAAGACTTTCTCTGCATATACCATGTAAAAGGTCTTCTACAAGTAGTTAATAAATAATTGTTCCCTCTGGTGCTATGCAGAGTAAACTATTGTACTATATACTGTGACCCTATATAATAAAAAATTCATTTCAATAGATTATGTGCTAAAAGCCTACTAACACCCACAAAACCTCACAACTTTATAATCTCAATAATTCCTTCATATATAGGTGTTGACAAAATTATTTTGGTTAGACACATAAAGTAGCCAATTTTAAAGATTTACTTCTTGTTTAAATGAAGTCTTTATTTAAAACAATACCGTTTGCTTACCTTACTGCAAATATTTACATGATTTTTCGTGAGCAAATCCTTAAATTCTTTTCATTCATTTAGTTCATTATGAGATTTTAGGAAACCTGTTATTTTTCCATGTTTCTGGGAAGGTATGCAAATAATTGTTTTCTACTAGTTTTAAAGCATTTAAATTGTTTTCAAACATGAGTAAGTGAAGTACTAACTAAGGTCACCTTTCATTATTTTTGAATTGTAGGTTTTTGTGAAATGATGAGTGCTTATTTCCCTGACTTTGAGTCAATCAACCATGCTACTGTATATCAATGGATGTTTGAATTAGCATCTAAACTGCAGCAGTCTGATTCAGAAGAGGAGAGAAATATCAATGTTGATATTTCGTTACCTGAGATTTTACCAAAAAATAAATCCAGGTATGTCTACAATTAAACATTATAACAGATATCAGCTCTGCATTAACTGACAAGACAATCACTTTGTTTCTATGTTCATATTTCCACACATAAACTCCAGGTATCCTAGCTGCCAAATCACAAAATCTTTTCTGTCAACTTTAATAGAAACTAAATAGGCTATACTCAGCTTTTCAATTAAAATAAAAATGTGTCAGTGTTGCTTGAATACTCTTAATGCTGATCTTTGAATAAGGACCCTCAGTATTACTGAAGAAGAAGTTCCAAAAAGGGCTCATAAGCTGTCAGAAGTTAGCGATGGTGGATCCACAGATAGTTCATGCTGTGATTTTACTGATGAAATGGATGTTTTACAAGAGATGTTTCCTACAGTTTGTGCCATTGAGGTAAGCTGTCTTAGATGAAATTTTTATTTCTTAAACTACACATCCAAAAAGCTTATTGTCGATAAATGATTTTGGCGCATGAATGGCAGGATACCTTAGCAACAACTGAATGGTCATTTTCAATGTACAGTGCTCAATAAAATCAAAATAAAGATCAGAAGCCGACTAGCAGATCTAAAATAACATAGATTCGGGTAGTTCACCTTTGAACCGCACGAAGGATTGGCAAAATTACAAAGCAAGTCCCATCTGAGCATTGTACAGAAGCAGGTAGTAAAAAGTGCTTCCTAGCTCTAAATAGATAACGGAGCTTCTTGCCAAAGCGTTTTCTCAGGCAAATGCTAAATCTTCAGTATGATCCGTATGAATATTGACGTCCACCTATATTCTATTCTACTGACGGATCACAAATCTTGTACGTAGAGCGTCCGATTTCAGGCAAGCCATTACTAATGTCTCCTTTCTTTATACTTGAATCGCCACAAAGGCCTAAGGCCTAAACATACCCATGGGTACCATGAGGCTATAGGGGGATACAGGGGAAATGGGGGACGGCACACGGACAAGAAAATTTTCTCTTGGGACGGGATTCGAACCCGCGCAGTAGGATTAGTAAATCCATAATGTCTACCACTACTACGCCACCACTGCTGCTATCAAAGCTTCGTCATTCCTAGAACTGGACACGCGTTTAGGTGCTTTTTATTAGTTATGGTAAAGCACTGCATCATAAAAGCGTCAAGCTGTACCAAATTACTGCGACACCCGGCTGGGGGGTGTCACCGGACACATTTTCAGTTTTGTTCATTATTATTTTTCGACTGCATTTTACGTTTTTTCCTGAAATGCTCATTTTTATAGTTATTTTGGGACGTAGCTCAATACAGTGAGCCCCTCAGGTCTTCAAAGTCCAATCCAATCAATATTTGGTGTAACAAAGCAGCTGAAAGCACCACTCTGCTCTTTAATTTTCAGCACCACCCCTCTCATTCTTCAATCATTTTTGCTAACATTGTAGCAATTGAATATTTTGTTTGCTAGTATGAATAACATGACTAGAGAAAAGCTTTCAAACTATCATTTTTTTCTTCCAAAATAGTCAATAATCTCATTTTTACGAGAGCTCCACACCCTATGGACACCTTAAGCTGGTATCAGTCTTCTACTCAGCTCAGTCAAATGTCAAAAAGAAAATTCAATCCTTTCGATTTCATTCTGCCAAGTCAGTTAAAATGTATTTACCATTTCAGGTTAAACACTGCCTTACCATAGCAGCCGGCGATATTGAGCGTGCCACTCAAATTCTGATCGATCGTCAGGAAAACGGTCAATGCCTCAGCCCGAATAGCTCGTTGACTATTCAGGTCACCAAGAAAACAATTGATGATTCTGAACTGAAGAACCGCATTATCGAGCGATATTCGTACATCGACAAGGATGCCTTCAACAAGGAACATCGGCCTGTCGCACCTAAGGTGGAGCCAAAGAAGCTCGTTCGGTACAGGTAAGGTCCTTGTTTTTTACTTTCATGGGATTACTAAGACAAGGCGGATCGATAAGCTAATAAAAAACATGTTTTAAAATATCATGCCATTTCCAATGCTACAGCTCCACAGTAACCCAAATTGTTCAAAACACAAAATTGGTATTTACATCAAACATCTGCCACATATCTCGGATCGGCGTTTGATCACGCTTGGAATAAGTAGTGGTAAAAGGGTTTTTTTATTGATTTTCATCCAAAATGTGATAGTAATTGTCGTTATTTTAAGTAATTTGCATTATAAAAACGATATACAAAATTAGTCGTGTTGACAGTTATGTCAACTGTTGTAGTGAAATGGAAAGTATAATTATACCTTATAGTGCACACATCATAATTTATAGTGGGTAGCCTAATATTTGCTTACGGATTTAGATTTGGCGCTATTTTCCAACGACTTTGCTTAGACATTTTATATTGTGCATATGTCATTTATAAGTACGGGTCGTTTCACGATGGAGGAACGCATTAGAATTGTGCAAATGTACTTAGGAAGTTCACTCTCATTTTTCCTTGAAAGGATGTTCAATCTGGGACCAATGAGATTACTTCCAAAAATACTTGTGATAACCGAAAAATGTTGCTGTAATATGTAATTGCACCGAAGTGTTAAGAGGTCAAGAACACCTCAAGTCCACGAACTTTTTGATAAAAGCTTGTCCAATTGCAACATTAAATATATAAAGTATTCTATATGAAGTATCCCTCCCATGGACGGGACTATACTCTGGTATCAAATGGAAGAGCAGCATAACACATCGTACACTACTACCAGCGCGGTGTACCTTTGTATCGGTAAAGCAGATCCTGCTGTATTCAGAAACGCCTCGTTAATAGTGTCGTACAATGTTTTGCTACTCTCTTCCGTTTCAGCACCAGATGGTGATGCCGCGCTGTCCAGTGGCGTGCGATGTGTTGATTTTGTTTAACAAAATGCTGAGGTACCTATAGGGACATCTACATGGTTGATCTGATTCTAAGCTATGATACGGTACAATGGGCAAACACCTTAATCCAGGATTAGAGATTGATGTTTCACAAACATTCAAAAAACCTCAAGAATTGATCCATAACTTTGCGTTTTGGTCAAGTCAACACCTAAACTACAAAATTATTTCAACTATGGTAAAATAATCACCTACTGACATTGCCTCTACAGATTGACCTAGCTTGGCCAAATAAAAAAAATCAAAGTTGATTTACCATATATTATTCACTAGGGATAACAAGATCGTGAGCCTTAAGGGAGAGCGTTTCACCGAGGTGAAGAAAGGCGAGGACGTGGACGACATTTCCTTAAAGAAAAACAAAAAGGGCATACTCCGTAACCCAAATGGCCTACGACGAAGGCAAGCCACCGTTCGTTTGAGTTCACATACGTTTCCGATCGCCACAGCATAGTATTTTTCTGTTGCTCTTATTTATTTTCCTCGAATCTTCTTCCGCTCGCAAAAGTATGGCTGTTGTTTTTAGAGTTTCTCTCGGTTGCGTGCAGCGGGTTTCCGTTTGAGTATTATTTTTTATCAAGCGTAACATGTTTCATCCTCATTAGGGGATTATGTGTATTAGGTAGTTACTCATCGGAACATGTAGCCATATTAGAGATATATGCAATTCGCACTGGTTTCAACTAGCTATAAGGAGCAAGTGTTAGGTTGGATAAGCGACATTCAATGACTTTTTGTGACTTTCGGGGAGATACTGCATCAGTTAATGTCTCTGTACATGGGCCAAGAAATAGGAAGGTTTCGTATAAGGAAATCTTACAATTTCGGCGTCATGATTTTTTTGTATTAAATGGAATTGGAATTAAATTCTCCGCCATATTGCTCTCATACAAATTTATGAGGTAGACTGTTTATGCCTATACGTGAGACAGAGGATAATAATGTATATTTGAATTTTAAGTGGGAACAGATATTTTGGAAAATCGCGAACTACTGAAAACTCATGACTTGTTTAAGCTATGATGGTAAAGTTTAAGTGTAATGCTTAAAGAATCTCAATGTATTTAGAATCTCTAAGGTTTTTCCAAGATGCAACAATTTGTACTACTGATTATTTCATACAACAACCTGAAAATCCACCTAAATACTAAAGTTGGCTTCAACTCAACTTTAACTCCAAAGCCTTGTTTCTGCCCTCTATATTCACATAACATGTAAATGCTGGTCTTTTACTGAGATGGCATTGTAGGAGCATATTCTCGATGCCGTATTTAATTTCAGTTTTAGTGAAGTTAAAACACATTTCTGATGAACAAAGGCAGCACAAAGTACCGTCTATTACCTGAGTCGACCACTGCGAAAGTGACAACAGCAAGACATCTGTTGGAATTGTATGCCAGTTCGCAGTCAGCCGGGTCATCATTCTGGCCAGCAGATTTATGCCTCCGCAGTTCTTCATACAGCTTCTTTAATTTCGGAATACAATTTTTCTCTTCTTGGTTGGCATCCTAGTCTTTTCACAAAACAATACGGTTTTACGTATTGTTAACCTTGCGCCTTCTTGTTCGTTCAGTCCAACTGCACACATGTTGAAGAAAAAAGCGCTCAAAACTGCTTTTTTTGAGGGTAGCTTCTAGCGGATAATTTTCGAAGCTGTGCTTCTTATTAGCAATATCTTGCTGTGTTTCCTTAAAGTCATTTATGAAGCCATGCTCGGAAAGTTTGCAACTGCCAAATAACACGAGAAACAGCAATAGCATTACTATAATGTGATAAATGGTCAGCGTTTGTTCTATGCAGTACGTCAAATTGAGCAAGATTCGACCTGTCCAAGACATGCCCGCAGTGAGAGACGCGACATACAGTGCCGAAGCGGCTTATGTTATACCAATCGACCCGAATTTTGCACACCTCCGCTTTACATAGTATTGAAACTTTATTTTTGGGGTAGCATCAAGAAAATCAGATAAAACATTTTTTGTCATAAATAAGGGCCAACGTCCATGGTTGGCCGTCTGTGGTCGGACGAACGAAAGCTATGTTACTAGTTTGTTCATTGGCGAGTAGACCATATCTACTATAGGACAAGAATCGGCGGCATCTAGCTTTCAGAGTGGTGACCTGGCTGACAATGCGAACTGGCATGAAGTTCCAACAGACAACTTGCTGTTTTCACTTCCGCAGTGATTGATTTGATTCACTCTGTACTGTCTCGTTCCGATAGATTTTATACTCTAAATAGAGTACAGTTTTTGGGCTTTCGTTCGGTGTCCACCGAGATGAAGCCTACATCATGCTGAAGAGTTGCCAGATAGCACGAAACAGCTGTCCATGGGTGGGGCCGTCTGTGGTCGGACGAACGAAAGCTAAATTACTAGATTTGTGATGGTCTATAATCTACAATGAGCTCAATGTTTGTGAAAATCTGGGACCAATGACAACATTACTCTCAAAAATACTTGTGATAACTGACAAACATTGCTTTTCACTCTTCATTTCACGATCTGTAATTACAACAGGGACATAGACAAGATTCAAGATCGTCTCAGGCCCACGAACTATTCGATAAAAATCTTAAGCTATGTTCCTGAATTGAGATATTACATTGTAATACAAGTTCTTGATATAGTGGTCGTCTATATAATTAATGAATATTTTAAATGTTATCATGTGAGAAGCGATACATATAGTGCATTTCTTCATTATACATATTATTATGAAACCATACCTTAGGGACACTATGAGGATGTTATCAGATTGAAAACACCACTTCCATGAAACTGTCAACCTACTGTAACTTGACCTTGGATAAATTAGCGATGCGTATAAAAATTAATAGATGCTCACCTGCCAATTAGGAAAGGTATAAATTGTACCGAGGTTGTTAGAGTTTACCACACCTATCTTTTATAGCGATTTTTAGTGCCCTAAAACCCGATTAGATAGATCACAACCTGCAAGTTTTATAACTTCCTTTATCGTGAAGTTATTAAAATCACTCGCAAAGTGTGATTTATAACGCCATGAATTTATTTAAACTTCAAGGGGTTTCCTAGCTAATTAGCTTTTAGGCCTCTACGCGGGAGATATCTAGATTAGTTTAGTATCAACAGAGAATCTCTATATCTCTATATTGGCTGCTCATTATAGGCACTCAACAGAAATGCACTATAACTTGGTAGTTGGATATTACTTCATATATTTTTTTATTGACCTTTTTGTTCGTAATTATTTTCAAGATTTTATTTTTACTAGGTATTATTGAAAAAAAACGTGAACAATTCATGAATCGTGTGACTTAAAGGCTAAGACAGCTACGAGTTACTGTGTTCATAATAGCACGTTAAAATATATACGTCGTCATTCACCACATTTGTGTACTGTTTTAGTGACATGCACTTCTCAATGGGGTTTTTTTGGTTTGAAAAACAAGATGGAATAAAAATGTGATTACCCTTCCTTTAATTGTGATACCATTGAAGTTGCACGCACTCCTCACCTAACATCTTGCTCCAACTTTATTGTACACCTATAGTATTACTATGTTAATAAGCTAGTCAAAATATTATATTTAATGCGTGTTTTGTGGAATGTTCTAGTATATTCAGAGTTCTTAAGTAAGCTGCCGAGTGTGGTTCAATAGTTATTTTTGAAATCATAATTTTTATGTTTGTTTTCGCGGTTTAGTTATAGTTTCAAGATTTCGCTATTTTTTGTAAGTTGCGTTTGCAGACTATTTTATGAGTATTATATTTTAATGTGACATTCTGGGAAGTAATGAAAGATGACAGCATTATAGTGCGTCATCAAATACCAAGCGCCTGTTTACCTTTGGTAAAAATACGTAGAGGAAAGTGCCGAATCTCGCACACTTTTTTTTTTTTGGTAACCTGTATCTTGGAAGGAAAGTAATTTTAAGCTGCGATTATAAGGGGAAAATGTAGCCTAATTATCAATAAAAACACATCATGAATCAAAAATATATTTAGAAATAAAATCTCTTATTACATAAAAAAGGCAATAATGATACTTTTCCACTTTAATACGGTTACGTAATATCGCAAATGCGATATTGGGTAACTTTTCGGTGGACGGTATTAGGATCCTTATGCGGATAAATATAAATCACAAACAAAATTCTTGTTTTTGTACGAATTTGAGCATTCCTCATGGCTCCATTTAAGACACTGGTAACATCTTATCCATTTTTTCGCCTCTGATATCCTCTGAGTAGTCTCAAACAAAACATACATTCTGCGTAATTATCTTCATTGTCGGAAGTGCAATCCATGTCAGAATCATCATCCAATTCCACATTTACATATATCCGACTCACTCGACTCACTGTGACCTTTCTTTGAACTTGTGTTGTTCGGAGAGACAGGTTTCTGCCAAAGATTCCGTTTTTTATCGGTTTCTTTGTCTTACCGCTCTTAACTCTTGCAATATTTATTTCATTTTTCTTTCTTAAATTCTCTTTATTGGACGAACCAGTAATTTGGTTCTGGATGAGGAGTCTTATCATTCTCTGTTGAAGGTGGAGGTATTGCTTCACGTTGTCTGTGAATGGCAAAGTCGTAATAATATAAAATAAACCGGTTGAAAGGAAAAATGCCGCTTTTCATGAACCCATTAATGGATTCTTCCGCAGTGGCGGCTTTTAAGTACGCGTTACCCAATAATTCGCCTATCTGATAAACAGAAATGTTCTGCAAAGTCCAGGTTTCAATCTCTTGAGAATAATACGTTTTAAATGGACTCATAAATGCCAGATCCGGTGGTTGCATTTTATTTTTATTTTATATTTTTATTTAAATTAAATTGGGGTATCGCGGCAAGACATTTTTTTCCAGCTACATCTTTTTCACGTGAAAATGGATTAGGTAAATTATTTCTCAAGGCAAGTTGTTGGAACGCCATTCTTCGTACGTCAAAAAAGTCAAACCAAAGAAACGTTTGTCCATTTCTAAACAGTATGTTCCCAATTGGGTTTCCATTCTCTGGTAGTGTCGTCTTTCTGCCCATGCCCATACTATTTTAATCCTTGGAGTTTTAATTATATTTTTTTATTTAATCCTTGTACTTTTGGGACATTAAATAGTTTGGATGCTTCAGATAGCCCATTCATTATTTTTAACACCATTGATTCCTTATCCCATTTTTCCGTTTGTTTTGAGAATTCATTTTATCTGGAACAAAACAACTAGTTATTTTTTGTTCTTTGAAGGTCCCTAATATCGTACACTGCTATATTAGGACCCATCTTGTTGTGCGATATTAGGCCATACGATACTTTTACGTTAGAGTAATAAAAAACAATATTTGAAATAAGTTATATTCTGAATGATGTAAAATGAAGAACAGAGCTTATAAATAACATGTACAGAGAAATTAAAATTTTTCACTTATCGCTTTTACAAAAAAATCTACACTGTTAAAAATTCGTGATCTACCAAATGCACGGTTTTCAGCACTACTGCCATTTACTTGTTATCAGAGCTACTGGGCTTAACGTGTCGGTGTCACGAAACTAAAACTACAGAATACTACGGTCTAATCGAATTAGTAAAAGAAAAAGCGCACTGTGCGTGCGATATTCGGCCACTTTCCCCCTATCTTTTAAATAGCAGTACTTTGCATTAATTTATGCTAAAGATATGACCTTGTCCAACTTTATGATATCGTATAAACAGAACTTACTTCTTACTTCTTGTGGAATTTCATAAGCGATAGAACTGTTTTGCAGTTACAAAGCGGTCAGAAGTACATATTCACATTGATTTTTAAGAGTAGTATTATGACATTTTAAATTTATGTATTTGTAGATCTATATTGTATTTGGTTTTAAAAAAACTGTCGTGTTGGAGTGCTGGTGTTTTAAGTATACACTTTCATTGTAAAATGTATGTTATAATAGCAGCTCAAGAGGAAACATCAAGTGTAGTTCTCAAAAGTCTTGTTAAAAGATGCAAGTATTGTTGTGAATATGATAGAGCATTTCATCTTATTGTTAGAATAAGAATACCTGTGATTTTTCTAAATATTACTCAATAGCACACAATTGTCTGTGTGCTAGAGTGAATATTGTATTTTTCCTGAGGAATAATTATTATTTCAACAAATCCGACTTAAAAATAAAAAAATGTGTTTCATTTATTATGTTGGTTATATTCGAGATTAACTTGATTCTGATAAGTTGACTATACTGTTATCTTTTCTTGCCAGTTTAGTTTAATAAACTGAAAAATTGAACGTTGTGTTTTATTTGACATTTTAGCTACAGATGTGGAATGGGTGGATATAACTTTGATAATTTAGTTTACTGTGTTAAAATGGTAGAAGAGAGTGTCAAAAACATGAATGTGTCCATGGGAATAACGTGACAAACTTGTTTTATGGTAAGTATACATGACTAAGGATATGTACTTGATTGCAAATCTAAAAATCATCTGCTTCATTAGTAATGTCAAAAATAGCATACTATTGATTTCGTATACTACCCATTTTCAAATGTAAAATTGATTTAAATGTGCACAAAAAATTAAAATTCATGCTTAAATTGATTTTTATTTTGTGTAAACATAACTTTTTTATGCTACGGACACTAACTTTCGGATGCCTTGATTCCTAAATTTTTTAAAGAAAAATATATCTCGTAAATTTATCCCGAAAACGTTGATTTACCAGCAGTACCTCAATGTTTTATCTGCAATGAGGTCATATTGTACTATATAATCCGCAAAGTTGGGGTTTTCCTTTTCAGAAACAACTACCCTTCAAATAAAGGTAATGTGTAGTGAAACGAGGGCGACCAAGTAAAAAAAAATAAAGGAAAAAGTACTCGCTCTCCAGTTGACGAGAAGGGCTAAGTACTTCTCTGCCCGAAATCATACCGCTCCAACAGAAAATCAAATCAGCTGATGCGCTACCGAGCAGACGCAGAAACCACATTGATTGTCTTACACTTAATGGCACATCTTCTAACAAGGAAGGCAAAATGTTGCGTGAAAAGTCTAGGTATTGCATCCCGTCCAATCGATTTGGGAGAATAAATGGTCCAATGAGCATACCGTTCACCATGCCAGCCCAAACATTCACCGAAAATGTTTGTTGAAAATGTGCCCGACGGACAGCGTGCGGATTTTCTACTGACCAAACATGAGTGTTGCGAAAGTTATTCACCCCATTACGAGTGAA